AGGGGGAGGAAAATGGACAGAATGTCTTGACACAGACCTCTGTCAGGTCTTTCATTGTGCCCATTAAAAGCAGTGATATATGTTCATGTGTCGTCCATGTGCGATGCAGCCAAAGCCTCCCACAGCATCTCGGGGCTTCATCAGTCAGACAGTTCATTCTCACAGTACGAGACACAGAGGGGAGCTTCAAACTTGGGAAAGGATTTCTTGATTTATTTTTTTCTTGTTTTGGTTTGTTTAGAGTGAGCAGGTGAATCTGGGGCTTGTCAACAAATCACTTTAAAATCACTTTGAAGCCAAATATCTGTATGGACACCTGGGTTCAAACTTTTACAGAACTTACCAAAAAAGTTTGATAAGTTTAAAAGATGTCTTTATGGATATTAGCTCTAACATATTCAACATACACGCTGTCCTCGTTAGCCCAAAAACATTACTCCAAGAAACCACCATCATAGCAAAATGTTAATATATTTATTTTAAAAACATTATTGTCATTAAAGTCATCTGAGGATAGATAGTTATTATTCAAGGAAAGTTGGATTTAATTTGACTATTTTGTAAATAATATGTGTGAAAGAAAGTTGCTGAAATCTCTGTCTCTTCCCCTTTCAAATTCCAAACTGAGGGTAGAGGAGTTGTATAGTGTGATACTCAAAAGGAGGACCCAGACAAACACTCACTAAATAGTTCCATCATAAAACTGCATGTAGACAAATGTGTGTGTGTGTTGACCGGGCCAAATAGAACCCTTATACATTGAAATATTTACAGTCATAAGCAGGCAACAATGACTTTATCTATATTTTATATGCAGGCAGTTATATACTGTTTTGTAGGGAAATGGGAGGCTTTTACTTTGAAAGACAAATAATTTATGGCGTCACATGACCAGGAAATCCTGTTTGCACCTCTTTTTCCCACGGACTTGTGACCCCCAGAGGTTCATGATTTGGGGTCTCACAATATTGTTTAATTGTTCATTCTGTTGGAAAAATTCCTTCAAGAAAACACGTGAAATACTATCTAAAGTATGTTAACTTTTCATTTTCATCATTTGAACCAGTTTACCTGTGACATGTGTTTTGTAAATAGCAAAAAGCCACATGGCAATGTGCGAATATGGAAGTGGTCTTAGTGCATTGAACCTATTGGACTGTAACTGAGTTACATAGCACGAGGCTACACTGAGACTATATGTTTAAAACTTTAAAATTTGATTTAAAAGGATAAAAACATAATGTTTCTATATTTTGTAATGTTGGGCATTTTGTAACTGTAACAAATCTCTCCATGACAATTATTGCTTTAACTAAAGGAATTGGATATTCCACCCAAATTGTATGTTGGTCCACTGATGTGTACATTTCTTGTCAATAAATGTATTAAGGTTCAACTCAAATATTTTCTTCTTGTTTACAGGTTGAAAGAACAGTGTGATATATAATTAAATATAGTCCGATGATGGTGTGAAGCTATGGGCTGTCAAGTGGCAAAATGACAGCCCAGTCCTGTGACACTCCTAAGCACTTGTAGAAGCTAACCCCACAACAGAAGTGCAACGGTGGGAAGGAAAAAAGAGATGGTCCACTGGTGTACAATAAGAGCATGGGTGGAGTGGATATTTTTGATTCTTTGATAGCCCTCTACCGTCCCAAGATCAGATCCAAGAAATGGTATCATTGAATTGTCTTGCACATGCTGGATCTGACCCTGGTACAGGCATGGTTCCTATACTGAAGAGAATGCCAGTCCCTGATCCCAAAGTATGACCAACTCTCACTTTTGGAAATCGAAACCCAAGGGGCCTCATGCTCATGCATGGAGAACAAGGTGTCCGACAAGAGAAAAGGGAGACCTTCACAAGTTGCTGTCCTGGCGATTTAAAAAAAAAAAAAAAAAAAAGAGGTTTGTGCCGCCTGATCCGGTCAGAAGAGATAAAGCAGAACACTTGGCCCTTGCTTGGCCCTTGCCAGCGAATGAGAAGGGGTGATGCAAAATGCCAGGGTGCAAAGATATTGTGAGGAGCAGGTGCTTCAAGTGTGCTGTGTTACTCAGCTTCACCCAGGAACTGCTTCTACGACTTCCATATGGGTTAATTGGGTCAGAGGAAATAATGTGATGTGAATTTAAAACATCATGATGATATTTAAATGAAGAAAAAAAAAACATCCATTCCATCAATCCATCCGTTTCAATCCATCCAGGCTGTTTTTTCCGTTTGGTGTCCCAAGGGCTGGAGCTGATCCCAGAGAGGCGTGATACACACTGGACTGTTCTCCAGTCAATCACAGGGCTGACATATAGAGACAGACAACCAGCTATACTCACATTCACACTTCTCACTGTGAGGCAAAAAGAGCTAATCACTAAACACTGAAGAAAAAACAACTCAATGAAATGAATTATATTGAATGAAAACAAGTCAGTGAAATAAAAAAAGAATGTTTACAAAGTAAAGAGGTTAAGTTAGCTCAGCCCCCTTCATTGAGAAACCAGCCAGAGTGCCATCAAGGAAGGTAGGCTATACATTGCTGCTGCCATTTGTACCATTTAATTTAGCAAATTTCAAGAAAGACCAACCTAAAAATGCCAGTGTAAGTGTACTATTTTATGTAGATTTTCTATTAGATTGTTTCAATATTGATAAATATTTATTTTCAGTGCATTGCCCTCGTTTACAGTCAGTCTGGCAATTTGAGAAATGAAAATGGATTTGAGAAAATGGTGTTGAGAAACAGCATCTAGGAGCAGTTGGTTTTCTGCACTTGCATGCAGAAATCTGTTTAAATACATTTTTAAAAGCTAAATTGTTGTTACATGACCTGAAATAAGTGCTGGGATTTCATAACAGGGAATTCCATTTTGCTCTATTCTCCCTCTACATGGACTGCTTTCAGGGTCCAGCCAAAGTTCAGTTTAATGCTACCATAGTACTAATGGTAACTATAAAACAGAAACCAGAACACTTATGATACAAAACTTGGACCTTGGCTCACATATTCTGCTTTTTTATGCAGAATCTGTAAGAGGTCAGATAAGGATCTGAGGACTTCACCTCAGTTGATATCTGCTGTTGGGAAATCAAATATAATTGCTCCACACCTACCTGCTGCATTTGAATACCACTTTCCAGGTTGTAGGCATTTGAATAGAACGCGCCCTGTTCATGTTAGACCATCAATATTTTATAAATGACACTATTACTCAGAAAGCGTGTGCCCGGACAATTTTCCTGCTTGTTGAGTTGACATGGGGACATTTATGCTGTTGCATTAAACTTTCACAGATCTGCTCAGAGGTGTCCCCTTAGCATGTGCTGAGATTCTGTATTAGTATTCAAACAAACCACTGGATCATTTTTAAAATCTAAAGTCGTGCTATTTAAACCTCAGAGAGAGCGCTGACATGGAAGAAGACTGAGAGGCAAAGACGACAGTAATGAGGCTCACTACAATTCATATTACTGCAAATGATTGCTGTTCCCCCTAACCTTATTTGACATGCAGCTCATGCCCTTTGGATCCTTTCAGTCAGAAGAACTGCGCTGCTCTCGAATGGTTCATATAAAAATGTATTCAGATGTCAGAATATTTTTAGACTCATTGCTCTAAAATTACGTTTGAGGATTGTTTCTGAAAAGAGAAATGTTTGATAATAGAAATGACTTTCTGCAAAAACTGAAACTTCCTCCAAAATACATGTTAATCACAAGTATGACTACTGATTGTATCGAGATTTATTTATAATCTGTAGTGTATAGACATTGTCTTATTATTGCAGTGTTTTTTTTCTCTTGACTTTTTCTCCTCTGTTTGGGCTGTAGAAGTTGGGTGCCTCTTCTGGTTCTCCTGTCCCACCGTGTGTTCAGATGAGGAAAGGTAGGCAAAATATTATTTTTTTTGCCAGTAGAACTCTTAATTATTTGGGCATCACATAAAAGTCACAATGGAGCAATATAAATAAAGATCTGCACAAACTTACTTTTTTTTTAGGTGAAAAGATATACTGGCAATAAAGTAATGATCCTCAAATATGTTTGTACTGATATATCTGTCTTAAAATGTTTGCATCAAAACAAACTTGGACTTCAAGTAAAAGTTCTTATTTTGCAGAATGGAGTAAAGATGCAATAATATTTACCTCCAAACTGCCAGCACAACAATTTTTGTAATTACTACAAAATCATAAGGTGTATTTGTACAACACAAGTTTTGCTTTCATGTATCAGCCACATTTTTCATTTAACTTAAAATATTGTATCCACTGTTTATTTGAACCAATAATAAAATCTTCATTGTATTTTGTTAAAATAAACCAATGTAACAAAACGTATCAAATAATAATAGGCTAGTGTAGTAGAAAACACAGTTTTCTCTTTAATAGTGAGGTAGCAGAGCTGTAAGTACGCCCAGCCTCTAAATATAGAAGTACTTGGTAACTTTTCACAACTGTTTGTTTATTAGGTTTAGGTAAATATAAAGTTGCTAAATATTTAACATCAGTGTTTAGCCCTCCATCTCATTCTGTCCTGTGATACATTTAGGGAGGGAGACCTTCTTCCTCCTCCCCCTCCTCCTCTGTCCCTCCATGTGTTCAGGCTGGAGGAGTTGGAGGAGAAAAGGCGGAGTGACGTCACACGAGGCTGGTCTTGGCGTTTAATAGCCAGGGGAACCAAGTGCCAGGTTGCACGAGCTCCACACTGCAGCTCTGTCCGGCCAGCGGCAGAGGGGATGTCCTGCTTACTCCTCTAAAACTTTCTACAAACTCAGTCAACAGACAAACATTGAGACTGACTGACAAAGTGTCGCAACTCGCCACACTCCTCTTTTAATGAAACTTTAAACTACTTTTAAGTGTGTTTTCTTTTTGACCAAAGTCACATTCACTTTAACAACAAATTGAATGAGCCGGGGTCACGCTTGCGTAGAGTTTTCTCGATTTTGACATTTTTTTTAATCTTTTTATTTGGATAAAGTTTTATGTCTTTAAAACTCGTGATGGCTGTCCTGTCACTAGCGTTCCTACTTGTGTTGACTTCAGCTGCCAAGGTAAGTGTCCTAACGGATTCACAGTCTCCTCATTTTACGCAAAAAATGTGCGATTTCTGTAAGCCTTTAAAAAATTAAGCCACGTGAATCTGCAGATAAATCCAGCTGTTAGAGCGGAAAAGTTACGTTTCTCGTCACAGCAACAGGTTAAGCGTCACTAAACTCCCAGTAGCCTAAATGTGCACACTGCTTCCTCTGTGAAATCAGTGTTGACACTGCACACGCATGTTACATAAGAGATTTTAAATAAAGGCATTTTTGTTAATTTTTTTTTTTTTTTTACAAGTAGCTCAGCCTGCTGTAAACTGCTGCTGAACATCTCAGACTATTATGATTTCCTCCTGGCTTGTACACGCATTTAACGAGCTTTTTTCTCCCCTCCTTCTAAACAGGCTGATGAAGTAGATAGAGAGGGTAAGTACTCATTTGTTTTTTTTTCCTACTAGATGATACAAGTTGTGAGAAAAGTAGAAATGTTTTTCCTCCACATACTGATAAAACCTCAAGCCTTCATGCTCTGAGATCAAAGTGGGAGGGGAGCCTGTGTGTGAGGAGCTCTGTAATACACCTCCCACCCCCATTTCACCCTCCCACCAACTCAGCATACCCCTTACACACACACACACACTCACACACACACTCACACACACACACACACACACACAAGTCCCCCAACATACACACAAACGCACAAACACACACACGTATATTACTTGAGCTTCAAGGGCTTTGTTATACAGGAAAGAAAATTCCTCTTGTGAATCCTGCACATCTGTTATCCATTGTGAGGTTAAGAAACAAGTGAGCTGCAACAGTGTCCACGTAGGATCCTTTTACACCTGCGGTTATCTTCTGAACACCCTTAAAGGCCTCACACATGTAAGTGACAGCTGCCAGTCAGGTCAAGAATGATGTTTTGCGATCCTTTGGAGCCTGTCGTCTGCTACTTTTGACTCTTATTAAACCTTATCATGCCTGTAAAATGCATTTTCTTCCGTTAAGTGCAGTTTCTTTTAAACTCTCAACTCTGTTTCTGCTTGCACAAGTTAAAGTCATTTTTTATTTTTTTTTATCATAAGTCAGATTACTTTCTATGCCTTTTTGCCCTTTCTGTACAAAAGCCGAAGAGAGACAGGAAGTATGGGGAGAGAGTATAGGGGACCAAATGTGACTGAGTGTGGAACTATAGCGATCGAGGACTGCATCTGTATATAGGGTGCCTGCTCTACCAACTGAGCTAAACCAGGATGGAGAAAGTGGAGCTGTGCTTAGCCCATATTGGTCTAGAGGCAGGGAAATCTGCAGGTAACCTGTTAGTCACAGGGCAGTTAAACTACTTTATATGTATAGATACATAGAGAACAGAACAGATCTGTTCTGTTGGAGGAAGCCATAGCCTTCATTTTAGAGACAAAACAGTAGATAGATTAGGAGATAGGGATGAATGACATGCTGGAAAGGAGCCAAGAGTCAGAGTCAAACACAGGCCGCCCACTTCAAGGACCATAACCTCTGCACTGTACATGGGGCACATGACCTAACTGCCAGGCCAAGCAATGCCCCAAGTGTGTATTTAAAAAAAGAAAAAAGGGAAGTAGAGTTATACACAATTTCTGTCTTTATTTAGCCAGTCCAAGCTGGTCTGTGCTCAGAAACGTTATCTCTTACATTGCCTTCTAGCAATCTAAAATACCTATATTTGATGAAAATGTTCCAAGTGTCTGAGCTGTTTTGGATTCAAAATACTGAAAATAGAATACTGCACTTTCCCAAAACAGTAATCACTCATGCAAACCCCATGTTGTAAAAGTGCTGCAGGTGAAGACAGCAAAAAGATGAAGTCAACAGTGCGTCTGCTCCACAAAGTTTGTGATTTATTGTGGTCATTCGAAAAAAAGTGTGTAGATAAATACGTTTCAATCATCTATGCTGATTACATGACGTGGACAAATATTGGTGTCGGTAAGGTTGTGAGCAACGACCAATATAAATCTCAAACCTTCTCAGACATTGTGCTGCTGAAGTACAGACATGTGACTAAGTTGTTGTGGTAAAGTAATTTTGGTCCCCCCCAATCATTTTTCTTCTGTCTGTATTTCCTCCTCTCTCTTCTTCCTCCTCAGAATGAACGAGTCAATTATGTACAGTTTTGGTTGACTCCTGTGACTATTGATGTCTATAGAGAGAGTGAACATTTTTCTCCCAGCCTTTCTTATTTAGCTTTTTATTTTGACAGAACCATTTTGTATAGACTTAGAGAAAAATATGAGGAACTGTTCACAGTGAAGGTTGGATCAGTTTGGCCAAAGAGTGGGTGACCTTTGTAGAATTATCTGAAGTGTAGTCTGTATTTAATCTTTCACTTGAGAATTTTTGGACATTTTTTATCTTTCTAAGAATAGCCCTGCAGTTACAGTGTGGCCGTGTAAACCTCGCCTACTTTGCTTGTCAATTTACCTATGAATCCACAGAGATCTATCATAGCTGGCATTTTTTGTTTTCACAAAATAAATAGAATCCAGTCCCCAATTCAATATCTGCAGCCCAGTTCAGCAGATATTACACACACCCAGAGGAGTACGAGTCCCACATGGCTTTTAAAACTCAAGCTTGAAGGTCTTTTCAAGACAAATGTGCCCTTAAATGGCATGCTGTCAAAAAATATTATTTTCATTAATTTGCTCAAACACAAAGGCACTGTCAATGATTATTAGGCCATATTTTCCATTGACTAATTCTGATCCCATTTCAATAGTGAGTGCTGGCCAACATTTCTCACTTAATTGGTTGTAATGTCTTACAATGTTTTTTTTATTTCAAGTTCTTCATCATTTTTTTCCAAACAGCTTCACAGTAGGAACATTTGGGTACAACAGGTTCAAGTGTATGACCTTTTTTTTTGTTTTTGACTATGCTTCCTTTCAGTGTTTAATAAAAGGTAAATGGGATGTCATAAAATGCACGGTTTGCAATTTAATCCATTATTTATTGGCTGTGAACATTGTGAGTTGTTTGCCCATGTTTTCACTGCCAATCCAATTAGATGAATCCCCATCTGCACAGTGACTGTAATGAGGCAAACATTAAGATTAGATTTTAAAATCTTTAAAATTAACTTTTCAAGATTTCGGTTTAGTGTGTTTTGACACCCAAAGTAAAGAAAGAATTCCAACAAAGTGCTGTTGATGAATCAGTCAAGATGAATGTTCTCAGATGGACTCACTTCATTGAGTCCAAGCAGGGACTTTTTTAGAGTAACCAAACAAACTTTGATTGTTTTAAAAAAGATTACAAGGCAAAAATAATGAATAAACAGTGATCTGATATCATGTTGCGCAAAGAGAAATTAACTTTTACAGTGGGGAACAGTAAGGGTGATGCATCTCTAAAGCTTGGTCTACTAACTACAGTGGCTAAACCTTTGTGCTTTCCTGTTGAACACTGAAGTGAAGCAGCAGCTATAAGGTTCAGATTATGTTAGCTTGAATTTAACAATCCCTTGACATGAATGAAGTAGGAAAAGGTTAAGATAATCATTGTCCATGAAAAAAAGATTGAAAAAAATTCCTTGTTAATACTTAAAGCCTGTTTTTTTTTCAATTGGAATCTTGCACAGAAATGTCAGAATCCAACCACACCAACAAGTTTTATATGAAGAGAAAATGAACTAATCTCAATGTGTTGCCTATCATCTATGGACAAAAAATTCCCAAAATGAATAGTATAAAAGAGGGCTAGGTAAATTGATAATCTAAAAATAAGTAACGGAGGCAGGATGGTCTTTTCTAAACTCATACTTTTGTTGCTGGTTGTTTTCAGAAATAGTTAATGTTGCTGAAACATTGGCTACAACTTATTATTGGGCTTTGGAAAAGATCAAAAGAAAATCAATTTAAAGAAATCTTTTCTTTTTCCTTTTTCTTGGTGCTGGTAATCAGTCTTGAGATAAGACCTGGGCCTCTTTAGATTTAAGCAGAGTAAATGCCAAAAGAGCTGTCTTAAGTCTTCTTCGTCCCACGTCTTCTGTAGCTTTTTATCTATAATGGTTTTGACATGTCTTCTGGGAAATATGTAACAGTTTCTTAAAAGTTACATCAGCCTTAGACATGTTTCAACATAGTCTTTCCGTATCAGTGTGAAACATCTAACTCTAAATCCTGTTTCCAGTAAGAGTCAAGTTAACTGGATTTATATGGGCCTACTATGAGAATACTTTGAGGTACAAAAACCTTTGGTCTTTTGCATGTTCACGGCCAAAGTGATCTGAAGGCACTTATCTTCTTTTAGGGATAATGATGAAAAATATCCTTTATGCTTTCATATCTGTGAAAACTTTACAAGGGCAGTATGATCGAACCGATTTTCATTTCAAGTTAAACTATAACTATTATCATAAAATTTGCTGTATTTTATCTGTATGTTTTTTCCTCAAAAGCACTGAGAATGCATGTTTTTTTGTTTCTAAATCATATTTATTCAGAGTGTGCATAGTAGCTCTATGATTTCCAAAGCATGTCATTTCCTCAGGCATGTAATTTGAGTTTCACCACTGACACCTGTTTGAATCGCTTGTAGTCAAATCCTACAAGATAATTGCAAGGTTTCAGGATTCATGTAGCATTTTTTTAAGACCAAAGAGAAAATTTTGAATGGATCTGCCATCGGGCACATTTGAAAATGACAACAAAGCCTGAGTGGAAATGTCTTTTTAAAACATTGTGTTTCAAGGCCCACACATTTCCTGGCATGATTGAGGTGACCACAAATTAGCCAATAACCAAGGGCATGACGGGAAATTAAGCATCTGGTCAAGATTATACTGGTTAACCTCCATGCATTCCGTTTTTTGAGCTAAATTGTGTATTTAACGTAATTAGAGGCAGAAGTGTTTGTAGCAGATGGGCGGCTGTGGCTCAGTTGGTAGAGTTGTCACCTTGCAACCAAAAGGTTGAGGGTTCAATCCCCAGCTGGGCAACATGTCCAATGTGTCCTTGAGCCCCACATTGCTCCCGCTGCCTCAGTGTTGTACTTACTCTCTGATGTACATCACCTTGGATAAAAGCATCTGCTAAGCAAATTGTAACATTGTAGATGGGATGGCATGTCCCCTCCACCAAAATCTGACTGACCAATTAACCTAAACTATTATTGTAAGCTCAGTCAGGGGCAGTTCTTGCTGTATTTACACATCATATTATTTGGACTAGGGTTTATGGCATTTCAAGGTAAAACCCTTTAATTTGTTGGTAGCCTACTGGACACTTTTTAAGGTTAACATGTCATTTTGATTAATTTAAAGAATTAATCAAAGGTTTGCGCTGATGTTTTTTGAATATGGAAAACGGCTCTATGTAGGAATGAAGTATTTATCTGAGACCTCAAGATAAGTAGTTTAAATATATATGATAGTAAATACAGTATTGGTGACATTTCACAAGTTATTTCTCCAGCTGGGCCACCACATCACAGCATATTAAACCTCCAAAAAAGAAGGTCCTATACTCCCCCAGTATATCAGCCTACATGAGGCTTATGTTTTACATGCCTGGTTTCTCAGAGCATTCCCAGGTATTAACACATTTCCAGGCCCCACTACTTTCCTACTGTTGTAAACTATATAATTTAAGAAGGATTTTAGTGTTCTTGTGAACCAAGGGTGGCATAAGTAGGACTCACAGCCCCCAAAGCCCACATAGAAACACTAAATCTGTTTCTGTGTTTTGACTGTGTTTTTCATTTTCCAGTCCATTTGCTTTGGAGAGGAAATGAATAATTTGTTGCTCAGCTTGCAGCCCCCCTGTCATTTAGAGCCTGCTGAAGAGCAATGGAGACACTATTTTTTAATATGACACTGGCCTTATTCAGCTTTTTTACTGGATCTACTTGCCTGGTCTGTTGTTATATTTTTTTTAGAGGAGGAGACCGTTGCTTAAAGCATGAGTATTATTTGCTTATCTTTGCTTATTGGCAGTGTTGTTGTGTAAAAATCACTGGGTTTTAAACTGTGGGAGTTAACAAATTATATACAGAAACTTACTCTGGATGTGGGATGATTTTTGTGTTGATATTTCTCAAAACATATCCATTGAACCAACATGAAGTAATGGGCTATAATTTTTTGTTTTATCTGCTGATTTGTTCAACAGGCCAACTGAAGAGCCGACTGAAGGAATACGGCCTTGTCACTCCTTTCAGTACTGACTCCCACGGACACTACCTGTCACACCTTCTCTCGGCCACTCACAAGCAACGTGTCAAGAGGGAGGTAATTTCCTCTGCTAACAATGAACAGAAACTTTTCTTCAATATCACTGCCTTTGGAAAGGAGTTCCACCTCCGTCTGCGCCCAAACAATCGACTGGTGGCCCCTGGTGCAATGGTGGAGTGGCATGATGAGGTCCAGGGCTTCGGGAACAACAGCATTTATAGTTGGAATGATTCAAGTACAGGCGCCAACCAGACAGAATCCGCCACCGGGGCTGAGAGGATACTGCGCCGTGAGCTGCTAAAGACAGACTGTACCTTTATCGGTGACATCACAGACGTTCCCGGGGCCGCGGTTGCCATTAACAACTGTGACGGACTGGTAAGTCCTCTGCCATAAAACTCCTTCCTTTCCTTACCCCTTAAACTCTGTCCTTTCTCCACCAAAGTGCCATGACCTTATCAACTGACGCTAATGGATTTAAGATGTCTGTAACTCCTGAGTTCAGCCTTTCTTTACGTCAACACTTGGCATTTTTACTGCACATTGTTCTTAGAGATGTTCTTCAATCGGGCAGGCAGTATAGTAGCTCTTTGTACAGAAGTTTGTCACGGGTGAGCGGCCATCCATTGCACCCTCAGACCCAACGGATTCTCCCCCAACTTCTTCCCAACGTAAAACACAAGTTCCTTTTTTGCTCCACAATAGTCTGCAGTCCTATCCTCCCCATCACCCCTCATAAAACACTTGAGCAGTAATTGGGGAATGACCTGAGCCAAAATCTTTTAAAGTAGGCAAAGGGAACATCTCTGCATTAAAAAAACACACTCAAAAGGACAGGATGCTCTGTTATTTTGGATTCCTGAGAGGTATTAAGAAGAATTAAAATGTTGAAATGATTGTACTAGTGATACTTCATATTTTCTTTTGACAAAACTCTGCTCATGTGGGCTTTATTCCCTTGGAGGAGCAAGGTGTACTGCTTTTTACAACCTGTCCCTGCTGAAATGCATGAACAACCAACCTGTGGCTTCTTTCCCGACTCTAGATAGACTCTAGAGATAGACTCTCTCTATACATGTGCTTCCTTGTTACACATGCTGTGATGTAGCAAGAATAAGGTGAACCCCTGCAGAGCACATTTCACTTCCCTCTGAGATTCAACTCCTGAGGACACACACACAACACGCACATACACATATTCCTTAGAAAGTGCAGACTGTTAGGGTTTTGTATTCATGCTTCACAATGATTGAAGTCCATTAGACTCTTTTACTATCATCACATCCATGTGTCACTCTTTTAAGAGGCTGTGGACTTACGGGCGGGCGGCCCGGGTTCGAGTCCCACCTGTGGCTCCTTTCCCGCATGTCTTTCCCCACTCTCTCTCCCTGATTTCCAACTCTGTCCTAGCTCTCCATTAATGGCACAAAAAGCCCAAAAAGCAATTCACAAAAGATATTCACAGTGCCGGTGCCCGAATGGTTAGTTTGCTAGCCCCAAGTACCGAGGCTGTTGTCTTCAGTGGGCCCAGATTGGAAAAGCTTAACCAATAAAAGCGTGCTTTAGAAACTAAGATAGTGAACAATTTTGTGCCTTTATTGGAGAGACAGGGCAGTGGATAGAGTCAGAAATCAGGGAGAGAGAGAGTAGGGAAAGACATGCGGGAAAGGAGCCACAGGTGGGACTCGAACCCGGGCCGCCCGCCCGTAAGTCCACAGCCTCCACACATGGCGCGCGCACCAACCACTGCGCCACCAGCGCCCCAGATAGTGAACATTTTGAATATTTTCCAAATATCTACATTACCATTGTCATTATAAGCATGTTAGCTTGCAGATGTTAGTGTTTAGGTAATACACTGTAAGCATAAGGGGTGCATTGTGTCGTTTGGAAAATCGATTGGAAAATCTAGGCATGTTCAACTACTGAGATGCTGAAAATTGTGATATTTTGTAACCTACAAAATATCAGCATGCCAGCATTGTCATTATGAACATGTTAGTGTTAAGCTTAAAGCACCAGGTTATCTTAGTAGAACCTCAAAATGCCATATGACTACTAACTGACCTGTAATGGATGGAAGACCGTGGAGGTTTAGCCTATAGCATGATGACATCGGCTTCATTAGTGTAATACTTGTTATTGGGATAAATAAATTGTTTAGTTGCTTAGGGTTTTTTTTTTGTCATTATAAATACATGAAGTAAAATGTACCCTATGGCTTTTATCTCATAGTCACCAGATACAATTTATTGTACCATGTTTGGCATTGCCATTGAATCTTTTTGGAATTACTGTCTACCGAGGAATTTTGTAAAGGTTTATATTCTGCAACACCAAGTGTAGAATATTCAAAGGCTACAAATCAAAGGCAGCACTTGCTAAAGCCGTCCCTTCAGGACCTCTTAAAAGAGTGACACATGGATGTGATGATAGTAAAAGAGTCTAATGGACTTCAATCATTGTGAAGCATGAATACAAAACCCTAACAGTCCACACTTTCTAAGGAATATGTGTATGTGCGTGTTGTGTGTGTGTGTCCTCAGGAGTTGATTCTCAGAGGGAAATGAAATGTGCTCTGCAGGGGTTCACCTTATTCTCGCTACATCACAGCATGTGTAACAAGGAAGCACATGTATAGAGAGAGTCTCACAGGCAGGTGTGGGAGTGTGAGGTTTTGATAAAGCTACAGGCAAGTAAACCTGCAGTGTGTGTGTTATATTTACCAGCCTAAATATCATGAGGTCGTGGGAGGAGAGTTACATGAAATACTGGCTGACTTCTTGGAAATTTAAACATGTTGATTCTCAAGAAGAAAGTTGACGTGTTGTGTTTAGGGATAAGAATGAAACTGAAGCCAACCCTCATATGATGTCAGACAAACGACATGCAGCAATTTTTCCAAGGCAGGCAATAATCTATCTTTCTAACAATGCAGGAAATCACATTCTCATGGCTTGGTGAATTACAGTAACAATGATGAGAATTTCAAAAGATACGTTAGAATGTTTTTTTTTTTACAGAAAAGCTCTCAACTTAAGGTGCTTGCCTCTTTAAGCTAATTTGAGCTTTCTCTGAGGTGCTTTTCAAAATGTTGGTTAAAAAGTACATATCAGACTGCCTTTGGTTATTACATCAAGAAATAAAAAAATGTCCAACCTCAACAATAAATTTGAAAAGGAATATATAAATACTGTACTATATTACATTCATCTTATTAATTCTATCTTTGACTATATATGATATGAGGACATATTTGGATATTATATTTGATGTGTATGCAACATAGGCCTATATCTGGGCACATTATACTACATGAGGCAAATACAGACTCAGTATTTGACCTGGCATGAAGCATATCAAAAATGTCCAGATATGATCCAGATTTGGACCCAATACTGAGTCGATATATTTCAATACATGACATGAGGACATATTTGGATATTATACTTGGCGGATTTCGCTTGAAGCCTTTGGCTCAATCTTAAAAGATAAAATACGCAAGACAATTGGACAGTGCCTGTGTTTCTGATTTGTAATCCGTGATCAAGATTCTGCACTTTATTTGTAAATCAATTTGCACATTGTAAATCGTTGTTCTCTCCTAACTTATTGTTTGTAAACTGTCTCTTTATCATGTAATGCTTTTTATGACGTGTGCTGCTGCACTCTTGGCCAGGTCACCCTTGTGAAAGAGATCCTGATCTCAATGGGTTTTTTATCTGGTTAAATAAAAAAATAAAAATACTTGATGTGTATGCAATATAAGATATATTGGGGCACATTATACTATATGAGGCAAATACGGACTCAGTATTTGACCTGGCATGAAGTATATAAAAAATGTCCAGATATGATCAGATTCTGCAAGAAAAAAATAAAACCAACTCCGGATTATGGGTTGTTTAGCGCAGTGAAACCTAATGGAGTTAATTTGTCATTGCTCACATAAAACGGTATTATGAAGTGTTGAGATCACACTGTACCAACTGAACCAATTTAGAAGCAGAGAACTCTTGGTAATATTATCGTACAGTCCAACTTGTCATGGGCAGGGGCCAACAGGGGCCAGTGCCCCTGTAACACCGAGCTTGGTCCCCCCTGTGGCCACCCCTCCAAAAAGGAGTGAACATACACAGTATTTGACTCAACAACCGGATTCACAATCTAGTATTGAATACTGTTACTGAAACAAATATAAATCATGACATTTTATGTTGTGGTATTTAATGATGTGCGCTATTTTTGGCATAATATATATATATATATATATATATATATATATTTTTTTTTTTTTGCTGTTGGAGTTGGATGCTGCTCGGTTTTTCAGTTAATACAAGGGTTCCCAAACTTTAACGGTGCTAGAGAGCCCCCATTGTCACTGGAAGGGACAGCCATGCACACCATCGGCCTCTCTCCACTGGCATTAGAGCAACACACAACAGCCCAAAAACCATAATGTTATTTTTGTAATTTATTGCAAGAATTGTGAGATGCAGAACACACGTAATCTCTTGTTATTTTCATTTAGCAAATTCTTGAGCTTGACTGCTAATGTCTCAATAATTTCAGTTTACCTATTATTTCAACAGACAACAAAGTTTTGTTTCTGATTCTTAACCTTTTTGAAAAGCTGCTTTTAATGATTTATAATGTTGATTAATTGAATGTCAAATCCACAGAGGGGAACTGACAGACTTCAACCACTCCATTTTTCTGTATTGAACGAACTGTAGCCTCTCTGTGTGAACTTCTTAATACAATGTCTAAAAATATTACAATAGACACGTCAAGGACATGTCCCAAACACAGATAATGCCGCTGTGACCTTTTGAGTCTCTTCTGAGCTCTGCAAGATTCGGCCGTTTCCTTTGATAGGAGCAGGAGGAAGCAGTTCATCACTTGGGCAGGTTCAATCTCTCTAAGACATTAATAGCTGAACCTTGTTGGGGATTGAGGGCCGAGAGGGGGCCACACAGGATGTAAACGTTTGGCTTTGTGAAGACTGTTTAGGCAGGATGTCACTTTGAAGATGCCAGTAGCCATCAAAGGTCGGTCGCCCTGCTCAGTGGACAGCTGATTTGAAAAGACTGCAGCTACCTATAACACTGTATGATGTCGGACAAAAATGAATCATTCTATTGTTTTTTCATTCACGGGTGTTAATGGTTTCTGGCACTTCACTTTTCAGAATCTAATTTTATCTTTATCCTCTTTGTCTTAGAATTTTCTAAGTCAGGGAGTAGTTTCTACGAAGACTCATCACAATGGAATGGCTATTTCTGTGAAAATGTAAAGCTCTGTTGCAAGAGGAAACAGCTATTTATGGATATATTGTTCTACAATTCTACAATTCACTTAGACGCTTTTATTCAAAG